TGAGTCTGTGGCTGTGGACTGGACCACATTCATTGATTTTGTTTATGTTACCAGCCTGTGGTGGTGCCTCGAGTTAAGCATCAGCTTTTGCACCACCACCTGGACTATACTCTCATTTCCATCTTATGGTTAAAGGGACCCTCCCACCTTAACATTAGATTTGAGTTGAGATAGCCAAAATGGGGTCCCTGACTCACAATTACCGGTTTCGGCACTCACAACATCGAGAAATGCCTTAAATCGGAAATATTGAATTTCAAAATTGCAGCATTTTGATTCAGAGGGGCTAATGCATAGGAATACCCCTCTGAATGTGTGACGTCAGCGCAGATATCTAACGATCTTTAAATGTTTGACTAAAACGTTTTGTAGCACGCGGTGGTATATGCTGCTTTGCGCGCAACAAATGCCGCGCACTTTCAAAAAAAGTCGCTAGGAACAGCGGAGATCCCAAAAAGTAAACAATCGTAAAAGTCTAATATCTTGAAAACCAGTGAATATTTTTTCGATGAAATTTGGTAGATATTCGTTTTCGCTCTTTTTGAACCGAGCGACATCACTTTCATGCCAATTCATTAACTTTTTTGAAGGTGTGAGGGTCCCTTTAACAAACGTGTGTTGTTGTTGTTGTTGTTGTTGTTGTTGTTGTTGTTGTTGTTGTTGTTGTTGTTGTTGTTGTTGTTGTTGTTGTTGTTGTTGTTGACTGCACCCGTCCCCGACCGCGGCTACTGAGTACTGAGTCACCCCTTCCCTCCTCGGATACTGAGTCTGGAGTAACCTCTCCCCGACTACTGCAAGTAGGTACTGGGTCACCCGTCCCCGGCTACTGAGCACTGAGTCACCCCTCCCCGACTACTGAGTCACCCGTCCCTCCCCGGCTACTGAGCAGGTACTGAGCCGTCCCTCCCCGGCTACTGAGCAGGTACTGAGCCGTCCCTCCCCGGCTACTGAGCAGGTACTGAGCCGCCCCTCCCCGGCTACTGAGCAGGTACTGAGCCGCCCCTCCCCGGCTACTGAGCAGGTACTGAGCCGCCCCTCCGCCGTCCCCGTGTCGCTGCGCGCCGCCGCCGTCCGACAGGCTATTGTTTCCGACCGGTTAGCGTCACCGGTCCGGGCGCTGACCGTCACTACGAGGGAGATCTACATATGACATTTAAAAACTCAGCTCCTGCCTCTTCTTAGCATCGCCCTTCAGCCTCGAAATCATATAGCATTAACCACCTACCATCAGTTGTCTAGCCGCAATCCTAGCCACCTACCACCTTATCACCTTAGCCCTTACCACCTAGCCGTTACCGTCTACCTGTGCCACTTACCGCCTAACCATTACCATCTACCGGTGTCGCTTACCACCTACACCGGACAACTGCTGCTGCCACTCCGGTGCCGCGTTCAGTGCAGCCCTCAGCCCTCAATCCTCAGTCCTCAATCCTCAGCCCTCAATCCTCAGCCCTCAATCCTTAGCCCTCAGCCCTCAGCCGTCAGCCGTCAGCCGTCAGTTCTCAGCCCTCAGCCGTCAGCCGTCAGCCGTCAGCCGTCAGTTCTCAGCCCTCAGCCGTCAGCCGTCAGCCGTCAGTTCTCAGCCCTCAGTCCTCAGCCCTCGGCCCTCGGCCCTCAGCAGCCTGCAGCAGCCCGCAGCCGGCTGACACAGGGCACACGACAGCTCCCCTGCTCCCGCCCGTGACTATATCCCCTGCTCCCGCCCGTGACTGCCGCCTGCTCCCGCCCGTGACTGCCGCCTGCTCCCGCCCGTGACTGTCCCCTGCTCCCGCCCGTGACTGTCCCCTGCTCCCGCCCGTGACTGTCCCCTGCTCCCGCCCGTGACTGTCCTCTGCTCCTGCCCGTGACTGCCGCCTGCTCCTGCCCGTGACTGTCCCCTGCTCCCGCCCGTGACTGTCCCCTGCTCCCGCCCGTGACTGTCCCCTGCTCCCGCCCGTGACTGCCGCCTGCTTCCGCCCGTAACTGTTCCTGCCTGGTGGACGATTGCCACGTAAACTAAAAATTGAGGACATAATAGAACACTTGAAAATACCATAACAACAATTCACACCAACTTAGTCCATTGAGCAGTTTTAGGAGAATTGAGAAACACAACATGATATCCGAACAAGCTCTTCTGTTTCATGGACTGATTCTCTACTGCTGAAAGGACAGCTCATAACATGAACAGAGCACAGCTAGGTACAATTGTAAGGATACAATGGTTTCTAATTTCGCCGAACTGGCCGTGCAAAGTGCATAGCTGTCGCATCCGTTGGCGTGCCTATGTACACTTGTCGGTGGTTTCTGAGAAGCACCCAGCTCACCGCAGCTGTCCTGCTACCTACCACTACCTATCACTAACGCTAACCGCCAACCGTGTAGCCAGGTGCTTTCTAAAAGTGACGAGTGGCCCTAAAGCATTATTGGGCAGCTAGCATTTAGACCATTGTCTTGATAATATTATATGTATATCTCTTTAACCCGGCCGGGCCCGGGGGGTAATCCCAACCACCGCAGCCCGGGGGGGCGTTTTTCGCCCCCCCCTGTCTAACTCCGTAAATAAGGGAGCTACGGAAACAAAAGCGATACCAAACGAAAGGTCCTTACGAGACGATTCTGAAGCACCTAAAATTTTTGACCTCAGGTCAATTTTCAAGGTCAGAGGTCAAGGTCAAAGGCAAAAACCGGCACATGTGTAGTGATCTCAAAGTAAGCCTTCTAGAAGACGGCAGGCGGCATCAAACCGGCAAAATTGGGTGTCAAACGAAAGAAGAGAATCTGAGGATTCTGAAAATTTGCTCAAAGTGAAAGGTCAAGGTCAAGGTCACGCTCAAAATTGACCTCAAACTTGGCACTTTTTCGCACATCTTGCGTGCTAACTTCCAAGATGTTTTGAAATGTTTTGAGGCTTATCAGTTCCCTATTTGTGGTTCATCTTACGATGCAAGGCTGCTCAAAGGTCAAGGTCACTGAAGAGTATCCCTGCTAGAGGCTATTTCACTAATTCAAGTTAGAAATAATAATTAAGACAATTTTGCCATCCGGAAGCTCTAAATGAAGGCTTAGAGGAAAATAGATGCCAGATTCGTGACCAGCGGGTACAAATCCATCATAAACGACCTTTCATGTGTCAAGGTCAACCAGAGGTCATTCGAGGTCACATGAGGTCAACATAAAACTTGACCTTTTCCGAACAAAATATATATCATTCGACGCGGCTTGACAAGGCGAATGCGATGGTACCACTGCCGTAGCTCTAGGACCATTTTTGTCGAAGTTATTTGCGAAAAACTAAAACCACATTTCGGGGTCGTTGACCTGACCTCTGGCCTCAGGTCACCAAAACTATTTTTCTATTTTTCTCTAGTTCAAACGCTACACAACCGTGCTCGTAATTTGTCTTTATCTCTAAAACTCTATTTTTAGCAGCTATTTGAAGTTTGCGTCTGTGACGCCGAAGTTTGCCGTGCAGGGGTCTAGAAAAATGGACCTTGTGACGTCATCGGGGGCTAGGTCCAAATTTTGTACTTCAGAAGATGTCAAATTGATGGGAGAAAAGGTACTGAAAGTTTCGCTTTCCTATCCCTAAGCGTTCGGGAGCTATCTTAAATATTCGCCAGGGGGGGCGAAAAACGCCCCCCCCCCGGGCCCGCGAGGGTTAAAAGAAATGATACCTACTGCACACACAGAACATAAAAACAAAGCTAAAGGCACACACCATCGGCGCAAAATACTGAGTTAGGTGAAGTACGTAAAGTTTAAGTAGTTATGGGTAGTAAAGTTTAAGTATAAAGCCAACGGCCGCATGTTGGCTTTACCCTCGCATGTGTAGGGGGGGGGGTCGGATGGACCCCCCCCATGGTTTTTCGCGAATAACTCGCGTAAAAAGCGGCCGATCGCGACGAAACTTTCAGTACCCTCGCATTGATCAATTTTACACCTACCCTGTAAATTTCATGACCCTGACCCAAATGACCTTTGACCTGTGACCTCTTTTCCGAGACCATGTTTGGCCGGAATCGCGATTTCGCGTATGTCGGCTCGCACTAGCCGCGTGTTTGCAAGCATTTTGTGGTTTCAAACGTTCAAACATGTGATTTGATGTTACTCCCGTGTGTGTCAAGGTCACCCGAAGGTCAGGTCAGGTCATTGACCTTTGGTGACCTCGGGTGACCTCGGGTCACTTTTTCGAGTTTTACATGTTTCTAGGCTAGTTTTTGGAGCTGAATTCGAATTTAGCAACCATTTGAACATTTACTAAGTAGTTTTGGTGACTTCGTAACATGTTACGAAGCTGTCAGAGGCGGTTGACACGTACTACGATTACCCGTCACCACGCCTACTGGTTGACCTGACCTGACCTGACCCGACCTGTTCTAAATGCTTCAAGACATCATCTGTGATCAAAACTAACACGATATTCGTGATCAGCACCCCGAAAAACCCCTTAGCAGCCACACTTTACGACTTTCTAACAGGTGCCGATTTTCCCGACTTTGGGTCATTGACCTGACCTGGAAGGTCAACCAATGACCTAGGACCTTAAAATTGGGTATCATCGGCTTCCTCTCGTCACGGACAACACGCTCGTTTTTTCCGCGAAGCTCTAGCTCGATCAGGGGCCAAACGGCAAGGGGGGGGGGGTCCAACCGACCCCCCCCCCCCTACACATTAGAAGCTGGCAAACACCGCACACATGCGAGGGTTATGGGAATCGACTGCAGGAATCAACTAGCGTATCAATGTTTTACCATGTATAGTGTGACGATGTAGGGTGATAAGGTGCGATGATCTGAGACATCAGCATTCAGCAGCAAAATGACCGGTTCGGTGTTAAATGCGGCAAAAGTGAGTTTCCGTGTACCGTTGTAAGGAAGCATTGAAATATCTGATCAGCTTTGAAATCTACGCCTGCCTGTGTCCGTGTCACGTACAATGCACATTGTTGGCACGTTTGTATCTGCGCTGTGCGCGGCCAGTGCGTCCACTTCCTCGTGGTGTGTGACAGAGAGACCTTGGTGAACTGGAGCCGGTATTTAAGGGAGCGGGCCCCGAACGCAGCGAGACAGTGTGACGCGGTGGGACGGACGCAGAGTGGGACCCTCCCCGAGCCGACACCGGCGCCAGAATGACTCCTCTGGTGAGTACGGCCGCGGCCAGTGTCTGCCGTCAACCAATGGTGACGTAATTCAGGGCAAATGAAATCGTCATCGCTTCTACATGTTACTCATATTTGGACGGGAAAGCTGCTCTCTAGCATCATTATCAAGGTGATTATGTAAGAGAGCAATTAGAGATAGTAAAAAATAATAGAAGTTTCCGCTCAAAGTGATGATTCATTGTGCATATTTTCCGGTGAACTGTAGCCAGAATCCGTGTAATATGACACAGTTACATGTATAGCGGTGGTCTGTCCTATAACTCTCGACCACCTTTGACGCCCTGTGTTGCCCTGTTCCAGGCCCTCCTCTGTCTCCTCCTGACCCTGGGCTCGGGGACGGCCCGTCCGGACGGACGACTGCTGTATGCCGCCACCTCCGGCCCCGCGGCAGCTGCCCCCTCTCTGGAGCAGGCAGCAGACACCGCGGGCCCCTCCGCCGCGGGAGCTGCCCCCTCTCTGGAGCAGACGGCAGACACCGCCGGCCCCTCCGCCGCGGGAGCTGCCCCCTCTCTGGAGCAGGCGGCAGACGCCGCCGGCTCCTCCGCCGCGCGCGGGGCACACACCGACACCGGTCTGACACCGGACGGAGGTCGGCCGGCAGCGGCGTCAGAGTCGCCGGCGGGTGACGCAGACGACGACGGAGGGTCGGCTGCCCCGCGGCAGGGTCAGGACTCGGGCGAGCTCGGCGCTGACGCGTCCAGCGCTGACAGCGGTGAGGACGGCAGTGCGGACCTGCTGAGCGGCGGGGGAGCGGCCGCCGCAGCGAGCCAGGGTGACTTGGTGGACGACATGGGCCAACAGGAGGACGGTGGAGTGGAGGGTGAGCAAATGGACGATAGCGAAGGTGACGGTGCTGACGGAGGTGACGACTATGACGCTGGTGGTGACGAAGGCCACAAGGCCGGCAGTGAAAACGATGCTGATGATGGTGATGACGATGACGACGACGATGGCAATGATGCTGCCGATGATGATCAAGACGACGATGATGAGTATGATGAAGATGATGATTCTGAGGATTATGATGAAGAGGAGGAAGATGAGGATGAGGGTGATGATGAAGATGATGAGGATGAAGAGCAGGAGGAGGATGAGGAGGATTATGAGGATAAGGATGAGGATGATGAGGATGATGAGGATAATGAGGATGATGAGGATGAGGATTATGAGGATGAGGATGAGGATGAGGAGGAGGAGGATAATGAGGAGGAGGAGGAGGAAGAAGATGGCGATGAGGAGGATGATGAGGATGAGGATGATGAAGATGATGAGGAAGATGATGAGGGCGGTGAGGACGATGAGGATGAGGATGATGACAATGAGTTTGATGAGGATGATGATAATGGTGATGACATTGCAAAAACTGAAGATGATAAAGACTCCGTTAACGACGACAACAAAATCGAGGATGATCACAAGGACGATGGACAAGAAACCGTCGATGGCGATCAGCTGAAAAGTGAACTCGAGGAGGGTGGACACGGGGACGACCAGGACGGGCTGGCGTCAAGTGCAGAGGGAGCCGCCTCTGCTGAAGCCACCGAGGGAGCGCAGCCGGCGGCCCCGGAGAGCGGCTCTGCGCCGTCTCAGCCGCCCTCTGATGATGCTGCTGATGCTGCTGCTGCTGCTGATGCTGCTGCTGTTGCTGCTGCTGAGGTGACAGACGGCGAGAGTGGTGTCGCCAGTGACGCCAGTGATAGTGATCAGGACACCAACAGTGACTCGCGATGAATTTTACCAGTACCAAGCTGTTCTATCGTCTGTTTTTCTTTCTGAGGCTATTTTTTTATACATACTCTTCTGAAGGCTGGGTATACTACAGGCTATTTTGATGTGTTCTATTGTCTACATTTGCATGTTTTGTTTGCTCTATTTAATACACGTACCAGGGTACCTATTATAACACAGTTATCCAAGGCTTCGTCCTCTTCTCACAACACCAATAACCCGCGCCCCGTAGGGGGGCCGAAACGCCCCCCCCTGTCCTTTTCGGTCGATATCTCCTAAACGGCTGGAGATATCGCCACCAAACTTTCAGGACCCCTCCGGGCATCAATTTTACACATTGTGACCAAAAATTTTTCCAGAGGCTGTGATAGGTTGGCCACAAATGACGTCAGAGTGACGTCATGTTCTGTCATTTTCGACCGAAAAAGACCTTCGCGAGAAGACCTGTCAGGCCTACAGCTTTGAAGATACAGAAAAATGATCAAGACATAAAAGGTGTAAAATTGACAGGGCTACAAAACTGCTATCTCGGATTTTTGAATTTTTTGAGTTTTGATCCCCAAAAATTAAAAAAAAGCATTTTTTGGATATATTAGCCAAAAAATCCAAAACGTTTTTTGAGTTTCGAAAAAACCGGAATATATGTGATAGTACCTACCGTCTTCTATCTACATACCAAATTTCAGATCGATACCTCGTTTTTTGGCCAAGTTATAGCGAAAAACTGTTCAAAAATGATGACGTCAAATTTTCAAACTCCATTTTTGGCAATTCTAGACATCGTAGTCCGTAGAGCAAAACAAAGACCACCATTAGACTCCCCGTGACGAGCTGCATCGAATCGATACCCATTTTATGCAAAAATATCAACTTTGAAATTTGACCTAATTTGACCTGACCTTGACCTGACCTTCACCAAAACGTGACCAAGGCTGGCCCCAAAGGCTGCCTAACCCACATAATCGCATTTGTCATGTAAAATGGACCATAAAACATGCATCACACGACACATTCATATTGTGTTTGTGACCCCCGGTGACCTGACCTCGCTGTGACCTGACCTGGTATCAGTGACCTCAGATAGCAAAGTATGTGTTTGACGAACAATATACCATCGATGGTTTTCAATAAATTACCAATTTACTCGATTTCACAGCACATTTCTTGAATTGCCTGTGAACGGTGAAAACCTGACCTTTGACCTGACCTGTGACGTCATCGGTTTGACCTAGGTCAATGAAATTTGGTCACAAGGTAGTTCCCGGGTAGGGCTATCAAACGCCGTTTGAATTTTGAAAATCGGCCGGTAACTTTCCGAGATCTTAGGGGGGGGCCGAAACGCCCCCCCCCCCTACGGGTGGTAGGGTCCGCCGGTAGCCCTACGGGGCGCGGGATAAGCTTTCCGCTTATCACAGATGCTTTTGCAGCTAAAACAGATACTAATTGCCTGATCAAATTGCTGTATTCTTATGCTGCATTAAATGCTTACCTACTTATGCCTATGTATAGACCGTTTTCACGACGAGTTATCTGGCGAGTGGCGAATGAACTAAACTTGACCAAATCTGCACCAAATCTCATTTACAGCAAATATTGCCATATCGTGAATTTATTTCAGCGTTTTAATCGCAATTTTTATCTTCTGAGTCTGATAATTAGAAAAATCATGTTTATAAGCAACTAGTGGAACCTAGCTGATAATAACAAGAAACACAATGGGCCTAATTTGACCAAAATATGCACCAAAACTGCACCAAATGTGAGCCAAATATGTACCAGATAGCTGTCGTGAAAACGGCTTTAGTTAGGTACCTACTACGTACATGATTGTTTTTGGATATTTAATAGTTGCACGTCTTAAACTGTACCGATTTTTCGTCTTCTTTTTTAGTTTGAACATTTGAACAGACGGTTTACAGGATCATATTGCATGTATGTATTATGTATGATGTGTGTATGTATGCATGCACCTATTAAGGACCAAGAGCGATCCACACATACGAAGAGACAGCACTTGGAGATGACTAGAGTTGTCACAATACCCAATCGGGAAAATTATGTCGCACATGGGAGAGGGCGATGAGCAGGCCCATATACCTGCGGCTGAGCTCAGTCAGATACATGGGCTGGCTTCCAAGGTCGGGCTCTTCTTTCACAGTCCCACTGCGCATCGCACGTATTGTATGGCGCCGTGCTTACGTTAGCGTTATACGTCAACATGCGCTAGCGGCCTCTGTCGGCGGCCTCCGGACGCCGCGGGCTGGTGGCGCTGCGTGCATGGCATGCGCCATGCATGCGCAGTGCATATATTGCATAGGCACACCCGCAACGAACAGATGACAAACACTCAGATTGCTGAACCCTCGCCCGGTGTGGGTATCAGCCAACTTGAAGCCGAACAAAGCAACCTCTATAAGTTCGTGCAAATATGTGAAAGGTCATGTTTTGATCAGGTCAATGCTGAGGTCAGTAGAGTTCATCAAAAGCGGAATTTTCAGGTCAATTTTCCCCGTTTTGACATTTTCGTAGACCGGAGCATAGTGGTGAGTCAGCTACAGCATCGCAGAACAGCGCTTTCGACAGCTTTTTCAAAACTCGTTTGTAAACATGCCTTCGAATTTGATCTCACGTCACATGCAATGGTTTGAAAAAAAGACTAAAATCGATAGAGCTAGTCATCCATATTCAATTTTCTTAGTTTTTAACCTCTGGATGATAAGCTACCTATAGGAATAAATGGGTTGCAAAGTATTTTAGACGCATAGTTACTAAGTGGCCTGGTGACCTGACCTCAGAATTTAGATGTTTTGGGGTCAACATTTTTGCACACGGCAACATTTTTTTTGCATTTTTTTGCACAACTTGAAATATAATAGGTAAGCTATGCTAAGCCAACCGCAATTTGCTCCACAGCTAAACCCGTAAAAATTGACGAGTGAGGCCAACCTCCCCCTCCCCCATCCCTTTCCAACAAGGTGAAGGCTGAGCACCTATGCAATATGGAGGACAAGTTAATGAGCACCGTAAGGCGAGTTTATTTGATACATACACGCGTTGGAGTGAACAAGGTGGTACAAGTGCCCAGTTTTGATGGGCACACTCAACTCTCGGATTGAAACCCACCCTTGGTGGGTTTCACCCACACTTGGTGAAACTGGGCCCAGAATAGCGCAATCAGACGGTCAGTGTCGGGGCCTGCGCAAACTCTGATTAGCACCGACTCAGGCTCCGTCAAACCGTACGTCCAAACATTCTGCAGCTCCATACAAGGTGCGCTTTTTAGAGCGCGTATAAAATTGTGATGATCATTTTGCGCCCATAAAAACCAAGCCTTTTCGCAATAGTTGTTTATTTTTTCACCCACGCCGTGCTGATGGTCTGAATTTTCCGTGTTGTGTCAGAGAGGGGGGGGTCACGTCCCCCCGTCTTACTCAGCTCATGGCCCACGTAGCGACACGCGATAAGCGGCATTCGAAAGAGCGTCAAAAATAATGACGAATATGCTACAGTATTTTTTTAGTTCAGATCAAAGGTCAGGTCACCAGAGGTCATCAAAGGCCAAATTTTGTCTATTTCAACAGCTTTCGAAACACACAACGCATAACTCGGAAACCAATAGAGCTACAGCACATAAGAAAAGCGCGTTCGATAGTTTTTTTTTTCACCGGCCTTTCTGATTCCTGTTTTCAGATTTTAACGGTTTAGGCTTCAGAGGGCAAAAACTGTAAAAATAGCCGTTCTTACGAAAAATGATTTTCGGTATAGATAGCTTTTTACTTAATCAGGCCACGACCTTACTTTTGCCAGTATCGTGTTCCTCTCGTCAAAACGCGTCGAATAAACTATCCCTCGCCGGACCTATTGGTTTTCTACATACGCGCCGGCCGAGGGGGGGGGGGGGCGGGTACGACCCCCCTCGCCGTTTCGCCCCTGGTGGAGCTAGCGCGTCGCAGAAAAAACGTGCGTGTGCGCCGTTACGAGACGCAGAGATTGGTACCCGATTTTAAGGTCCTAGGTCAACTGGTGACCTCTGAGGTCAGGTCAAGTGCCCCAAGGTACGGTTCAGTTTTTGGTGAATAACTTCGCAAAAAACGGCCACAGAGCGCCGATTTTGGCAGCATCGTGTTCGCCTCGATCAGGCGCGTCGAATGATATACTTTTTGTTCGGGTCAGGTCAACTTAGGGTGTTGACCTCAGGTCAAGGTCAGGTAAGCACCCCCAGGTCACGAAGCTGGTCAAAAGAGGTCATGTCGCACATCATTCGATTCGGCAGGTCTATCTGAGTCCATTGGTGGCTTTCCCGACTCGCTAGCTCAATTTGATCGGGAGTTATTGACGAAAAACTAATATGACCTTGATGACGTCATAAATGACGTCACGCAAGGTCAACATTGCAAAAGTGACGCATCTAATCTTGCTAGGAGTGCATCAAATCACGATTCTGTGTGCTTGAGATAGTTGGAGATCGTTCCCGGCGCCAGAATAACAGTTTTCATTTTCCCCATTGAGTTGAGGTCACGAAAATGAACTGACCTCATGTGACCTTTAGGAAAAATCCGAGATATACAAGTTGTGAGACTCATAATGGGTACTAGATCCTGCAAGTTTCATTTCCCTGTGACATCTCCTGTGGCAGTGAGGGCGTTGCGAAGTTGCGACATCTGAAGACCGTGCAGAGGTTCACTAATGACGTCATAGGTCAGTGACCTGACCTGACCTAAAAATGCGGTTGGTGTCAAAAGATTTGGCTTGAATCAAAGGTCAGGTATGCCAAGTTTCAGCTCTCTATCGCCAGCGTGTTTGGAGCTATCGCGAAAAAAACCTATGGAGGGGGGGGGCGGCCGCCCCCCCTCGGCCGGCGAGGGCTATACCTAAGTTGACCTTATCAGGTCATTAGAAAAAAAATGGCCTCAGGTCTAGGTCATGACCTGACCGGAAAGGGGCATGCTGCACAGCAGTCGATCCGTATCGTCGAACTGAACACATCTGACGTGTTCTTGCCACTCTAGCATGTCTCTATAAAAAGTTGTAACAAAAAAACTGCTTGTGACCTTTCATGTCCTGAGATGAGCTCAGGGGCACACAGAAGGGTCACAGATGCAATTGGTGTCATGTTTACCTATAAACCGATGTTTGAGAGTGTTTAGAACGACATTCGTCCAAAAGGAGCGCATTTCAAATTTCTCCCGTTGGCTTATACCTAATGGACAGGTAGCAGAATTGACCCGACCTTAGGTTACAGATATCGAAATTCCGAGATAAACGTTTTATGCATACTGCTACGCTTATCAATTGCTGAAAGTTTGAAAGTGGCCATTCAGTCGGTGTAGCTACAGCGAGCCTTTGAACTTTTTCTGCGGTAAGGTCACATGACGTGATCTGGTGACCTGAAAGCGATCGGGGTCTGAAATTTTCACATGTGCGGAAAAGATGTGTGAACACTAACAGGTGTACAAAACACGGTGGCGCTGCGTGCTGCCGTTTTTGAGATATTTGCGAACAACATGTAGGGGGAGCGTAACCCCCTCCCCCAATGGGTTAAGCACAGAATTAATTGTTTTGAAAGTTCAAGCAACCAAAGCATAATAAGGTGCTTGAAGGCATTCATTAGACCTCAAATCAAACGAAGGCATCAAATCTCGAGTAAGCCGAAACCCACGCCTAACCCCTCATTAATCTGGCACTTTGAGCCGACCGCCTGCCGACCCGGCGCCGAGAAATCACTTCCCGGCCCTAACGACAGTCCGCTGACCGATAGCTACGCATACCCTCTGATGGCGGGGTCCACGTGGGGTGCGGTGGACTCGGGACCGTCCCCTGTCCTGAGCAGACGAAACCCCGCCTCAGGCAGGGGGCGCCCCAGCCCGCGGGTGCCGGACGCACCAGGGTATGGACGCCCGACCGGCGCCAGTCGTCGCTCAGATGCGCCGTGTGAGGTTGTCCCCGTGTCTCTGTGCTGCGTGCGTGCCACCCCTGCCCCCGCTGCAGTCGCGGCCGCCGCTGTGTGCGGGTGCGGCGACTCTGACCGTGTGTGCACCATCCCTGCCCTGCGCCATGCCGGCCGGCCGGCGGTGTGACGACTACCGCTCTCTGGCGTCCACCCGGTACCTGCAGCAGGCGGCACACCGGCTGGACAGCTCGGTGCGGGAGCGCGCCGGCCTGGTGCCCTCGCTGGGCGCGGCGCTGCTGCTGCTGGTCGGCCTCGGCGGCTGGCTGTGGGGCCGCTGTCTGATCTGGCCGCAGGAGGAGGTACCCGGACCCGGCCCGCCGGACGCGCCGCTCGCCGCCAACGGCACGGTGCTGTGGAGCGAGTGTCTGCGCTCGCGGGGCTCGGCGCTGCTGCTGGCCTACGTGCTGCTGGTACTGGCCGCGGCCGTGGCGATGGTGGTGGCGGTGCGCGCGGTGCCGCGGCTGCGCCGGCAGCTGGAGGTGGCGCGCCGCCTGCTGCGCGCCGACAGCGCCGGCTGCCCGCCGCTGCCGCTCACCGACGTCATCCAGGCCGTGGAGGCCGCCGACATGGCGGAGGCCGAGAGGCTGATCGGCGGCGGCGCCGCCCAGCTCAGCCGCTACGGCGCCCTGCGGCAGACCCTGCTGACCGTCTGGGCGGCCGGCGAGGTCTGAGCGCGACCGGCGGGCGGCCGAGCGACCCCGGCACCCTCCGGCGACCGGCGGACAGCCGGCGAGGTCTGAGCGCGACCGGCGGGCGGCCGGCGAGGTCTGAGCGCGACCGGCGGGCGGCCGAGCGACCCCGGCACCTGCCGGCGACCGGTCAGTGCCGCCGACCCCGGCACCTTCCGGCGACCGGCCAGTACCGCCGACCCCGGCACCTGCCGGCGACCGGCCAGTTCCGCCGACCCCGGCACCTGCCGGCGACCGGTCAGTACCGCCGACCCCGGCACCTTCCGGCGACGGGTCAGTGCCGCCGACCCCAGCACAGCAACCCAGCACAGCACCCCAGCACCGCTGACCCCAGGCGGAGCAGCTCGCACTCCAACGACAGACCAGGGTCACGACTGCCAAGGCACGGCCCTGATCACACCGAGACACGGACTGTGAGGCAGTGAGGCAAGGGCTGGGAGGAAAGAGGAGAGGCGTGGCCATGGACCGTGAGGCGGTGAGACATGGACGTGAGCAGGTGCCACCAGGGCTGTGAGGAATAGAGGCACGGTCACGGGTCGTCAGGCAGTGAGGAAAGCACCGCGGAGACGAGAGATATTGGCCGTGAGTAGGTGAGGCACTGCAGAGAGCTAGTCTTTTCCAGCGGCCGAAGTGTAGGCGATAAGTGAGAGTGAATGGAAGAGGGTCCGGAGAGGGATTTTTTGCCTTGGGGTTTTCCACGTGACACAAACAGGGATAGGATTTAGCGTAACAGCTCGACCTCGGCTGTGGGCTGTGGCAGCTCGGACTGATCCGCAATCGGTTTAGTTGTAGCCTAAGCCAGGTCAGAGTGTGTTAGCTGGGGAGCTTTTTTTAGCTAATTTGAACACCATTGACTTTCAAAAGTGGGCTTAATTGATGTCATTTTACCTCTTGAAACAGGGGACTTATGTACAAATGGTATGCGGATAGTGAAGTGTTGACTGTTTAAAGCGAGTGGTTTTATTATGTGACTGACCTGGCATTGACCATTTGCGCTGTAAATGTGTTCATAGATATAATCGCAGCTGTCGTTCATACATTTGTTCCATCCGTCGGTCGAAACTGTGAGTATGTCTTCGACGGAATATCCAATACACCTTCGCATAATTGCTATATATTTTAACCGGCACTCGACTGGGATTTTTTATGTGAAGAACATCAATGAAGGACCTCAGATTGCAGATAGTTTCTACAGCCATACATAGGACTCGACAGCACCTTATCGTTTGTCTCAACTAGTCCAATCGTTTTTAGGTAGGTGGATATTTTGAAACTCAATATGTGCAAACGTAGGATTGTTAGAAAAAGTCAAACAACATTGTCTCTTAAGCATGTATTAATGACAAATGGGTAACGTGCTAGGTAGGTTGTAGGTACCGTTACATACAATGTTGCTTATGTTCGCCGCAATGCACGTCGCGTCAATAAGTGCACATCATCAAATTATTACCTATAATGACATACACAAATGTCAGCTTATTATACTCCTTGATTTACAATAGGTACGTCATTAATGCCCATAATCATCAATCGTTATTCCCTAAGCTAAACGTTTAAGCAGTACGCCACAACGGCAAACGTTTGATCATCGCATCCGGGGCACCAGTGTCAGTGGAGGCAGCCGCTCGGGACTGGTTACTGTATTGTATACCAGTGTCAGCGGAGGCAGCCGCTCGGGACGGATTGGTTATTTAGCAACAGTGTCAGTGGAGGCAGCCGCTCGGGACTGGTTACTGAGTACCGGTGTCAGTGGAGGCAGCCGCTCGGGACTGGTTACTGAGTACCGGTGTCAGTGGAGGCAGCCGCTCGGGACTGGTTACTGAGACCAGTGTCAGTGGAGGCAGCCGCTCGGCACTGGTTACTGAGTACCGGTGTCAGCGGAGGCAGCCGTTCGGGACTGGTTACTGAGTAGAGTACCGGTGTCAGCGGAGGCAGCCGTTCGGGACTGGTTACTGAGTACCGGTGTCAGCGGAGGCAGCCGTTCGGGACTGGTTACTGAGTACCGGTGCCGGTCAGGCAGCCAGCCGCTGCTGGTTCAGATCCAAATGCCGGGCGTCCCTGGCTCAGAGACCAATGTCCGACCATCCTACCGCCCGACGATGTGGAGTCCGAAGGCCAGGGGCCAGTGGAGGACCGGCCGCCCTGGAGAAACTGAGCGCGATAACGGCACATACCGCCGGTCCGCGTACAAAGGCCGCCAGTCAGAGCCGACTGCGGCAGCGGCGTCATGGTACGCGGCCCGGAAATCAGTGTTTAAGTCGCGCGTCCCTCGTCAGTTTGGGTTCAAAGCCCAGAACTGCACAGAGTGCAGCAGAACGGGACAAAAGACGAGCCGGACGACAGCGGGCGCCACCAGCTCTACACTGCTGCCGCAAATAAAACAAAGTGTTCAGCGAAAGTTCAATGCTGAGTTCAGCGACATCAAGCACTTGGAACACCAGATCGCATCATCATATTTAGAGCGTTTGAAATGATATTCCACAAACGTAATGGAACGGTGCATGTTAAGATAACGTTTTTTTTTTTCTTTTTCGACATCATTGTTTCGTCAACAAGTTTACTCACTTTGACAAATTCGTATGCTTTTATTCGTACCTATAAATTCTTCAGAATGTTGAAAAAGTCACGTGAACAGGATGCTCGCCTTCTCAACGGCAGTGTGTTATTTGTGTGCTGCTTGTGAGAAATGTGCTCCCGAGGGAGCACCCACGGCGCCAACTGTCACCTTCCGACCGGCAGCAGGAGCATGTCTTACTCTACTCATCTGTAGAGGAGCGTTATGTCAGCCGTCCGGCCATACACGTACTCCTCTGCAGCTATCGTCCTGTTCCAGCTGACTTCACCGCTGCTGCCTCTACATACCAGCAGTGGGCCCATTCAGCATCCCCCCCCCCCACCCTTCCCCACCCGCAACCCTTCAGCAGGCCCAGCGGAGCAGGCTGGCCGCCGCCAGCGGGCCCTTCCCCGGCTCAGCAGCCCCAGCAGAGCAGGCTGGCCGCCGCCAGGAGCAGCAGCAGGCCGCGGCCGGGCAGCGGGCCCCTGCTCCTCAGCAGGCCCCCCAGCGGAGCAGGCTGGCCGCCGCCAGGAGCAGCAGCAGGCCGCGGCCGGGCAGCAGGCCCCTCCCCGGCTCAGCAGGCTCCCCAGCGGAGCAGGCTGGCCGCCGCCAGGAGCAGCAGCAGGCCGCGGCCGGGCAGCGGCGCGCCGCCGGCGCTGTAGGAGCGGCGCCGCTCGGCCCTGGCGTACCTGTCCTCCAGCGAGTTGGAGACCACCCAGACGGGCGTGGAGGACTGAGGCTGGAACCAGCCCCGGTACGCCGTGGTGCTGGCCGCCGGCGCAGGCGGCGACGGCGACGGCCGCGCGATCGGGGAGCCGCGCGACGGGCCCGGGGAGCCGCCACGAGCCGGGCTACGGGCCGGGTCACTGGGCTGGTCATTGGCCGGGCTGCGGAATGGGTCACCGGACTGGTCATTGGAGGACTCGCGGAATGGGTCACGAGACTCAGTCTGGGTTGGATCGCGGACGGGTTCATGAGCTGGCTCAGGGACCGAGTCGCGGGTCTGGTCACGGAGTGTGTTTTGAATTGTGTTGTGGAAGCTGTCACGGGCCAGATCAATGACAGGGTCACGGGAGGAGTCGGCGGCGGGACCGCGAGATGGGCTAGGATTACGAACTGGATCCGGAGCAGAACCCATCGGTGAATCAATGCCAGAGAAGTCCTTGGCAGCGGTATTCACAATCGGAGTGAAGCCATTTTCGAGGTCGACTGGGTGATTGCTGCTTTGAGCTCTGTCCTTTGCGGCTGCCGCAGCCGCACTGGGTCGGTCTGCAGAGGACGGCTGGGGCGGGCGCTCCGGGCCGGGTGCCTCGCCGATCCCCGGCGGCCGGGACGGCCCGGCAGACCCGGCAGACCCCGGTGCCGCCGGATCTCTGGGCTGCCCAGCCGCGGGAGTACCGGCTGACACGCCCCCACCGCTGCCGGGACCGGGGAGCCGCCGCCCGCCGTCCCCCATCCTGGCGGCGCGGTCCCGAGCGCGGGCCGCCGCCACCGACAGGCCTCCCGCGGTGTCTGCAGGAGGGGGTGCGGCCCCGCCGGCGCCGCCGCTGACAGTCGCGGTCCGCTCGGCCGAACTGTGGTACTCCACCCGACTGGTGCGGCCCACCTGCAGCGGGAACTGGCGGTCAGTGCCGCTGGGACTGCGCTCGGAGCCCGTCTGCGACCGGCCCGGCCCGGCGGCCTGACCGACCGGGGAGTCCGGTGCCGCCGACGGCTGTCCCGGCCACGACTGCGGCCCGCGCGCCGGCTCCGGGTCCGTCCCACCCCGCCGGGGGTCCGTCCCACCCCGCTGGGGGTCCGTCCCACCCCGCTGGGGGTCCGTCCCACCCTGCTGGGGGTCCGTCCCGCCCCACCGGGGGTCCGTCCTGTCCCACTGCGAGTCCGTCCCGCCCCGCTGGGGGTCCGCCCCGTCCCTGCGCCAGGCAGAGCCGTCCCGCCGGGCGGGCCGGTCAATGCGGTCCATGAAGGCGGGCCGGCCACGTGCCGCCAGCGTCCCGGCTGGCAGCAGCCGACTCCAGCCGTCCGGCGAGGACACGGACACCGCCGGCGCGCCGCCGACCCCGACCGGGTCGGACGGGCGCCGACCGCCGACCCCGACCGGGTCCGGCAGGCGCCGACCGCCGACCTCGACCGGGTCGGGCAGACGCCGACCGCCGACCTCGGCGCGCAGGGCCTCCCGGACGGGCCCGGCCGGCTGGTCAGGCCGGTCGGGAATGATGTACGGCCTCTCGGGGCCGCCCAGCCGCCGGTCGGGTCCCTCCGGCCGCAGCCCCACGCCGGCCTTCATCAGCTCCTCGTGCTCCTGGCGGGGAGCGAGCTCGGTCCACTGTCCGGCGGAGTGCGGCGCGCCCGGTCCCGCCGCGCTCCGGTCCCCCGGTCCGGCGGCGGCCCCGGTCCTCTCCTGGATGCGCAGCAGCTGGCCGTGCTCCTGGTGCTCGGCTCCGGTCGGAGCCCGCGCCGGCTCCCCGCGGGCCAGCCGGGGAGCGTCGGCCGAGGGCCGGCCGCCGTGGCGCTCCATCTCGTCCACGGCCACTGGGGTGATCTGGCGCCGGCCGGGTGCAGACCGCTGGCGGTCGTCAGTCCGCTCGGAGCCGAGCTCCGAGTCCACGCGCTCCCAGTGGTAGTCAGCCGAGTGCTCGCTGCCAAAGTCCGAAGGTCCTTGCTCGTAGTCGGAACGCTCTTGAAAATAGTCTGAGCGCTCGGGGCCATAGATGGCGTACTCTGTACTGAAGCCGGAGCGTTCCTGGTCATAACTTGTGCGTTCCTGACTGTAGTTGGGATGGCGTTCTTCTGTAGGGAAGTCGCGCTGTTTGCTATGGTGCTCAGGATGGTCCCGGACCAAGTCGGGCCATCTCAGACCGTACCGAGGACCGTCCGAGTCTGCGTGACGCCAGTCTGCGCCATTATCGCCGCGAATCGACTGCCACCCTCCCTGGCTGCCGGCCTCGTCACAGGAGTCCAGGGTGAACCTGCAGAAACAGGGCGAGGTCAATCCATTGGTCAAAGGCAGTTGACGTTATTACTAAACTAGGTGAATTGTAAGCTATAGGAAGAGCCTACTTACACTAAAAATATGCATTTGCCTTCGCTCTATTTATATACAGCTCTACGTAATCGTCTTAGATGTACAGACGTCTAAAGTGGACCTTCTTTATGTGCCTCCTTACTGCACGTCATGGCAGGTCTCTGTAGAAAGTATGTTACTTCTCACTTCTCACCTATTTTCTATTGAGTACAATTCAGGTCGTTAATAGGCGGTTTGGGAACACCCGGCATGTGTCCAGTGCCTGCCATACTATGCTCTTTGTCCGGTGTCCACCGCATGCAGTATTGTTACCCGCGAGTGTGTGTTTTTACCGAGTGGCCCTCTGACCCGTCCGGCCGGAGCCTGGACCGGCGCGGCGCGTCAAAGGTCGCCCGATAGGAGATACGGCCGACGCGCTGCGTTTGCGAAATAGGACCAACAACACGTAACGAGCGGCCGTGCGATTTTGCAACGGAGCTCTGGCGTCCCCGGAACTGGCGCATTTGTTTTTGCCCAGATGAGATAACGCTTCCGAATAATAGCGTCCCTCTAGTCGGCGGTGTAGTAACAGTCCGACGGATACAACAAATATCTGCAGCAGCCGTCGCCGTCGGGCGGTACACGAGCGGAAGGGCCGGCGCTTTAACCCGCGCCCGGCTGGGGGTCCTGGATTTCCACGCCCTGCTGGGGGGGGGTGTTTGAACACCCCCCCTTGTAACTCGGCTCCTGGGCCACGTAGCGATACGCGGAAGGCGGCGTTCGAATGAGCGTCAAAAATAATGACGAAATCACTTCGGTCAATTTTTTGGTCAGGTCAAAGGTCAGGTCACCAGAGGTCATTGAAGGCAAAATTTCGCCGATTTCCAGGTCGAATGTCGAAAATTTCCAAGAAGCCAACGCATAACTCGGGAACCAATAGAGCTACAGCGCCGCGGAAAAGCGCATTCGATAGCCCTATTAACGCCCTTTCTGAGTAATTCTCTCAGATTTGACCTAACGTCAACGGTTTTGCCTGCAGGGGGCAAAAACTGCAAAAATAGCCGATTTTTTCGGAAACAGTTTTTCTGCAATAACTTTTGACCCAAGCCTTGTACGAGCTTACTTTTACCGGCATCGTGTTCCTCTCGTCAAGACGCATCGAATGAACTATAACTTGACCTTGAAAGGTCAACTTGAAAATTTGACCTCAGGTCAAGGTCATGACCTGACCGGAAAGGGTCATGTTGCATATCAGTCGATCCGTATCGTCGACCTGAACACATCTAAGGCGTTTTCATCGCTCTAGCACGCCTCTATCAAAAGTTATTCGCGAAAAACTGTTAGATATCATTCGTGACCTAAGATGACCTCAGGGCATAAGCAAGGGTCACGGACACTATTTTCATGTTCAGTGTGTCTAAACCACTTGTAATTCGGTGTTTGGGAGTGTTTATAATGTCTTTCGTCCAAAAGAGGCGCATTTCAATTTTCTCCCATTGACTTATAATGGGGAGGTCGCAAAATTGACCTGACCTTAGGTCATCGATATCAAAATTCTGAGATATACATTTTGTACATACTATTGCTCTTAGCAATCGCTGAAAGTTTCAAAGCGATCGGTCACTCGGTGTAGCTATGACAGACATTGAAACTTTTTATGAGGTGAGGTCACTTCAAGTGACCTGGTGACCTGACCTTGAATGACCTTGGTCTGAAATTTTCACAAGATGTGTAGAATTGATGTATGATAAGGTGTACCAAAAACGGCGGCGCTCCGCGCCGCCGTTTTTGAGATATTCGCGAAAAACCACAAGGGGGGGTGTTCAAACACCCCCCCCCAGCAGGGCGCGGGTTAATGACAGGCTAATTAAAGGAAATAGTTCACTTTTTAACATGGGTTTTGAACTGGAATAGCAGTTCCGTAGCTTGGGCTGAGACGAGCATAAATCAGGAGCTTTTACAGCCCAACGATCACCCTAGGCAAAGATATTCTATTTCTCGTCCCGAAAAAGGTGTCTTGCGTTGAGGATGTGTGCCTTGCATATATTTCCATCCAGTATGAAAAGAGCATGGGTCCCGAAAATTCTTCAGAAACTAGAGAAATTATCTACGAGAACTCTAGAGAAATTCTCGTACTGATCAATTAGGACATTCAGGGGAACATTATCAGATCGAGCAGATCGCCCAAATGCCGGTGGCTGCGATAATTTCTCTGTTTCTGAAGAATTTTCGGGACCCATGCTCTTTTCATACTGGATCGCGTGTGCCTTACAGAAACTGAAAAGTTCTTCCTATATCAAAATATAGAAAAAAAATATTTTGTTATAAAAAGGTTTTATTTTCTTTGCTGATTATTTTGAACATAAAAAATAATAAATCGTTGCAAAAAAAAATAATTTCGTGAAAGTGAACTATTTCCTTTAAGATTACAGACCACGATACTGCGCGGTGCCAGCGCAGCGGGCCGTGGCGACTCACAGACCGCTGTGGCACAGTACGGGCCGTAGAGACTCACAGGCTGCTGTGGCGCAGTACGGGCCGTACCATCTCACAGACTGCTGAGTGCTGTGGCGCAGTACGGGCCGTAGCGACTCACAGGCTGCTGTGGCACAGTACGGGCCGGAGGGACTCACAGGCTGCTGTGGCACTTGTGCACGAAGACCTGCAGGCCGTTGTCGAGGAAGGTGTTGACGAACATGGTGAGCCGGTTGCCGGAGGGCTTGTCGGCGCAGCCCGGGTCGGCCGCCACGCAGGAGCGGAACCGCAGGTACCGGCTGCAGGGGGCGGAACGAGGGGGGGGGGGTCAGGACCGTGCTTCTGCCCTGACCGTTTACCTTATAACCATATACGCCTGCTCCTTATAAAAGGTTTGGGAAAGTTAAGCATACAGGCGTTCGGCCACGTTATTTGACAGACGGGCAGATGGGAGCGCCCCTATATAAGGTGCTAACTGTAACTGGTAACCGGGTCCAGACGCGCAGACCGCCGCTCCGGCTGGCGTCATCCGGTTCCCTCACCAGCAAACGTCCGAGTCGGGTGCTGCGTTGATGACAGCGTCCGCCATCTTTGTATAGTCCTCGCCGCAGCGGCTCTTGTCCATCGTCATCTTCTGGATGCACGGTGCGTGCTCCAGATACTCTGCGGAAGTTGACAGGTGCAAATAATACATCTATTCAAAGATACGAGGTAACAGTTACTTACTTTCAACTCTGGGGTGCGACGGCATAATGCGTCAGTGAGTAGGAAGCGATGATAATTTAGACGCGGTATAAACACATAAACCTTCCGCACCGATAGGGCATGTCGCTTGACGATCGCACCTCGGAAAATGGTTACTTATCCATTAACAATTGACGTAAGTCGTTAGCGCGTTTTACGAATCAGACTGTGTCAGACTCTGCGACCTGCGTCCGCTGGGGGCTGACCTTTGCTGTAGTCGGGGTCGCTGCACATCTTGTGGACGCTCTTGACGGCCGTCTGGACGGCGCCGTTGAAGGCCAGCTTCTGCTGCCGCGAGTAGCCGGACATGACGAACTTGTTGATGCAGTCCACGAACAGGCGCCAGTTGCTGCGACACGAGCGGGCCGGGTAAGAAGAGAGGGTAAGAACAGGACACGACACGAGCCGACGAAGGTACCTATACACAGGGAGAGATAAAAAAAAAAACAGTCGTGGGCGGAGCATAGTGTCCTGATGTATGAAAGCCTCTATCCGGGATGGAAAAATATTACGAGTCAATGACAAGTGTCACAAATATTTGAGTGACAATCAGGTCTTGAAACGGCTATTTCCCAAATATGGTTGAAATTCTTCCACGCATTCACAAACAATCGCGAAAAATTAGGGTCTCAAGGGGTATGGCGCCAACAGTAAGTTATCTTATCTGCCCGGTGAACATATGCAGCCATCAGTATCTTTCTGGTCCGTGGATAATATACCTATATAGATAATGGATAACAGTGAGCTGTGCACCCAATTAGCGTCCCTTTGTGTGTCTGTGGAGCACCCAGAGGCTGTCGGTGGCCGCGCCGTCCGCGCTGTCGGCTGTCGGTGGCCGCGCCGTCCGCGCCGCCCTCCCCCACTCACCGACAGACGGTGGCCAGCTCCTCGTGGGTGGCCGGCACCACCATCCGGGTCTCCGTCACCAGTGGCTGCGCCAGCTGCTGGCAGTGCTCCAGGTGAGCGGCTCCGCCGGACGCCGCCGCCGCCGTCACAGGCCCGCCTGCCGGTCACAGCGGGTCACAGCACCGGTCAAACCGGGGCGCACCAGGGCACACCGGGTGGCAACAGGATCACAGGCGTCAGTCACACCGGATCACACCGGATCACACCGGGTCACACCGGGTCACACGGGTCACACTGGTCACACCGGGTCACACGGGTCACATCACCAGTCACACTGGTCACAACACATGTCACACAGGTCACACTGGTCACACCGGGTCACAACACCGGTCATACGGGCCACAACGGCTCGCAACAGGGTCACAACAGGGTCACTCGAGGTCAGCAAACGTCACGGGGGCGTTTGCTGGTCGGGGCGCGACCCAAGCAACACACAACCTACGTCCGGTCATACGAGGTCATACGAAGCTGCAAGGTCATACGGGTTCATGAAGGTCTTATCAGCCTAAGCTCATATGGACGCTGGACAATGGATGCGCGGGACCATGCGGCGTGAAATAGCCTACTGAGAAGCATCCACAAGACATAGTGGATGGTTCTGCGGCGATTCACATGAGCTCGCCATGGGTCATGTGAGGTCACAAGGGCTCGTGGAAGGCTGCTTGTGATGATGGACGGCCTGAGCCGCATGGAATAGCTCGCGGAGCTTCACCGTAATATCCGTTTGTCCGTTGCTGGCATTTGGTGCCCGGTCTCACTTTATCTACGCAGTAGGCAATTGCGTGTTGTTTATATGTTTCAGTATGTGCAGTACTGTATACCATATCTTTCCCCGCGTTCGATGTCTCTCGGACGACGAAGATTCTACGTCGTCCGGCCAATCACGTTTCGTAACTGCAGCCGAGCCCCCGCTAACCTTGAACGGGACGTAGAATCTTCGTCGTCCGAGAGACATCGAACGCGGGGTTAATCTGCTGTAGACCACGTCCCCATCAATATTTTTTCCCACCGGTCGTTCTCTCCCTGCGTCACAGCGCGTCACAGGGACTCCTATGAGTCCGATATATACGTCCCGTATGAGGGGAATGTGTGTCCTGCTGCCCCGTCCCTACTGCCCGGGGTGCTGTCCCACCCCACGCCGTCCCGTAGGGTCGCTGGGGGGAAGGGGGAGGGGCGCTGGGGGGGAGGGGGGAGGGGCGCTGGTAGGTGCGCTGGGAGTGTCCCGTTAGCGGGTCGGCGCGCCGCGGCCGCGGTGGCACAGGGGCGAACATGGCGCACCGCAGCGCAGAGCGGCGTGCTGCGGCGCACAGCCGCGCGCCACCCCCTAATTCGGCGACCGCTTCCGGTGTCAGCGGCCGCGCCCGCAGCCACCCCGGCCCCGCCCCGAATCAGTGGCACCGGCCCGCCCCGAATCAGTGGCACCGGCCCGCCTCGATTCAGTGGGGTCGGCCGGGCCCGCCCCGCGCGCCCGGCCCGGCCCGGTCCGGCATACGTAATAGGTATGAGTATTTTGGCTACTCACTTTCCGTCAAGCTGGATTTTGGTGACCTTGCGGAATGCTTCACACCGCAGTTGCTTTGTGAAGCTATAGCTGCTAAAAAGTGAAGTATGTGCATAGTCTTTGCCTATCGCCTATACATACATGCATGCCATTTCAGTTCCAGCCGTAAGCGGCTCTAACACTTCAACCTACTCACCGTTTGGCTCTGTAATAGTATGTGTTCGGTCGTTCCGTCCCTTCCCGTCCCCGTCCCGTCCCGTCCTACTCCGTCCCGTCTCGTCCCACCCCGTCCCGTCCCCGTCCCGTCCCACCCCGCCGGTCCCGTCCCGTCCCGTCCCGTCCCTGTCCCCGGATCCCGTCCCACCGGATGGTATGAGCGAAGGGAGGTGGGTGACCATGCAGCTCGACAGAGCGTGGTCAGAAGCCGGATCCACCCCTCAGTGGAGGTCACAGGTCAGCCCTACACAATACAGGATGATGCCAAAAATGACCGCTAGGCCACAGGGTGTCGAGGTAGCCAGTTGCTTCCGGGGTTCGTGTATTAGTGTGCTGTGCTATTGTGCTAAGGCGTCTGTTGACGCAAACGCTGAAGGATCAGCCACATATGACATATTAGTGAGCTGTATACCTACATTTGATGATTATTATTCAGCAATTCACTTATCAACAAGGAATTACCAAAGCGGCATTGGCATTGCCGGAACCGTGAAAAATGATTGGTTTTTGATGTAGAACAATGCGGAACGGACATAGTGAAGTGGCTCAGAAGAGAAGTTCAAATTGGTAATCATTTCCCAGGTAAGTACCTGTATATCGAATAGTGTAATATTGATCTTATTCCAATGTCGCTTAGACGCATACACAATGTATGTATGTACATTGCTGCGGTCGAACATCCTTAAACACCAACCTGTCCAAACAAACAAAAGACGGCTTCGAATATGGGCATATGCGTTAACCCTCGCATGTGTGCGGCGTTTGCCAGCTTCTAATGTGTAGGGGGGGGGTCGGTTGGACCCCCCCCCCTTGCCGTTTGGCCCCTGATCGAGCTAGAGCTTCGCGGAAAAAACGAGTGTGTTGCCCGTCACGAGAGGAAGCCGATGATACCCAATTTTAAGGTCCTAGGTCATTGGTTGACCTTCCAGGTCAGGTCAATGACCCAAAGTCGGGAAAATCGGGACCTGTTAGAAAATCGTAAAGTGTGGCTGCTAAGGGGGTTTTCGGGGTGCTGATCACGAATATCGTGTTAGTTTTGATCGCAGATGATGTCTTTAAGCATTTAGACCAGGTCGGGTCAGGTCAGGTCAGGTCAACCAGTAGGCGTCGTGACGGGTATTCGTAGTACGTGTCAACCGCCTCTGACAGCTTCGTAACATGTTACGAAGGCACCAAAACTACTTCGTTAATGTTCAAATGGTTGCTAAATTCGAATTCAGCTCCAAAAACTAGCCTACAAACATGTACAGCTCGAAAAAGTGAACCGAGGTCACCCGAGGTCACCAAAGGTCAATGACCTGACCTGACCTTCAGGTGACCTTGACACCCACCCTAATGCATGGAAGCAACATCAAATCACATGTTTGAACGTTTGAAACCACGAAAAGCTTGCAAACGCGCGGCTAATGCGAGCCGACATACGCAGAATCGCGATTCCGGCCAAACATGGTCTCGGAAAAGAGGTCACAGGTCAAAGGTCATTTGGGTCAGGGTCATGAAATTTTCAGGGTAGGTGTAAAATTGATCAATGTGAGGGTACTGAAAGTTTCGTTGCGATCGGCCGCTTTTTACGCGAGTTATTCGCGAAAAACCATGGGGGGGTCCATCCGACCCCCCCTACACATGCGAGGGTTCTATGTTTCCGTTTGCTTTGGACTGTATTTCAGTGTTTACTAACTACATCCACTGACAACCAGACATGTGCATGGATCCGAGTGATGGATCTATGATCTCAGTGGATCTCGAGGCACATTGCAGGTTCTGATCTATGATCCCACCGCATCCGGCGTGGAAAATTTATCCTGGACCTATGATCTCACAGGATCTGACGATAAAACAAGAACATGGATCTATGATCTGAGTGGATCCCACCATGCACAACATTTGAAACCAGGTTTCCAAGTGTTTCAATGTCAATAAGTGCCATAAAATCCGTGTTATCACATAAAATCACTAAATAAGAACGTTTTTGAGTTGCAGCGAGTTATATTTTGGGATTTCTGTGTTGACCAAAAATAAATTAGGATCTATGATCCCACTGGATCTCAAGCAAAATACTAGACTCGGATCTATGATCCCTGCGGACCTCTCGATAAATTAAAGAGCTGGATCTATGATCCCGACGGATCCGAGATCAGGATCCGTGGGATCAGATCCCAGATCCATTTTGTCGGATCCATGCACATGTCTGCTGACAACTACTAAGCGTAGGGGAAATTGCGTCATCCGTTCATATATCTAACGACCTATTGTATTAAAGGGACTATCCCACCTTCTAAAATGTTGTTAAAACCAGTTAAATTGTGCCCGAATTTATAGATTGGATGACCAGGAACACGGTTCTGGCATCTATTTTTCATTAAATATCTTAGGCTTCCCATATTCCAAACACAAACTTTCAAATATGTGACGTCACAGCCCAAAATTACCTCCCTCCCCAGGCCACATTACTGTCATAAAGCTGATTCTTTTTACTCTGTAGGCACCACAACAAAGTTCAGACCAAGTTTTAAGCGATTTTTCAACGAACAAACCCATTTAAATCAGAATGACTAAACGAGGTGACGTCACACTAACGGTCGCTCCATGTTGAAGATAGGGCCTTGTACACTCCCCTACTAAGTGATGTTCGCCCCCCGACGGCCCAGCGTTTGACTGGAGCGGTAGACTGCGCCGTCTCACACCCAGGCTCAGCGGCACAGCACATCCCTCTGGCCTCAACGGTAGACTGTGCCGCCTCACACCCACGCTCAGCGGCACAGTATATCTCTCTGGCCTCACACTCGCTACAGACGCGTTTGACCGGGTCAGGGACGCGCCGCGCTGGTTGCCTTATCGCTCACAGTCACATATCTGTGGCTAGGGGGCCTGCTGCGAATCGCTGGTCTTTCTGTGTCGACTCGAATATGATGCTTGTAAGTGGTCACGATCGCATTTAGCTCAGTAAGATTAGTTATAGCAATTTATATCGTTTATTTTCTCCCGGGTGGGGTGGGGGGGGGGGGTGTTTGCCCACACTTGCCAATGTTTGTGTGTGTCTGTAACGGAAACTGCGGCGCACAGCGACGCAAAACTTGGCACAAGTTATGAATTTCGTATCGTGTCTGGAATTGTTGACACCTGGTCACATCATAAAGTCAGGTCAAAATGTTCCTCTTTTTAGCGATGGCACCCGGATACAGGTGAATAATGGCACACCGAATCACAAAATTCCACTCTTGACCCATTTTATGCCCCTGAAGTCATCTCACATCATGATACGTCTCCGTAACCCTCGCCGGCACGGGGGGAACTGAATGCACCCGCCACCCCCCCCCCCCCCACCCAAGGCTTCAAGCGAATAACTCGCGTAAAAAGCAGCCGATTGCGACAAAGCTTTC